CTGAGGACAGCAAGGGGGTGTAGAGAAGCATCTGACTTCCAGGATATCACACACGTTTGTCATTAATTTATACTCCATTAATTTGGAATCTGGAGTGGAATCAGGGGCTGGTGCGTTAATTCGGCTCTGCCCCGTCTCTCTCCCTCTCTCCCTCTCCACCCCTCTACCCCCCGTGTGTGTGTGTGTGTGTGTGTGTGTGTGTGTATGTGTGTTGTGTTTCTCTCGTGTGCTGTGTTTCTCTCGGGACAGAGTTTTTTTTTCCTTAAGCAATCCGATAGTCTAACATGACTTGTGAAAAGCAGGTTTCAGTTAGGAAGGATGTCAGTTCCCTTGCCCACGTAAGTGGATTTCTCAGCCCCAGCTCATCAAAATCCATTCCTCTTCGCTCTTAAAGTAGGCACTGGGAACCACCTTCTGGAATACCTTGATACACCCGTTCCACCTGTCAGAAAAAGCACCCCAGTGGCTTTCTTGGGCCATGGTCTCTGTCATCTTGTCTCATTGCAGCCTTGAGGGAGGGGGCACGGAGGCCTCCTGTCTGCAGAGGCTTTGCAGACATTCTGCAGTGTCTGAGCAGACTCTTGGCCGGCCCCAACCCCAGCGCTGACATCCAGAGCCCCGTGAACAATGGGGAACAGAGAACTCAAGCCCTCTGCTGGGACCCTTTCCATACCTTGTGGCTGGAGGGGTCCCAGGGGTTACATGGCAGCCCCAGGGGTTGCCGGACTCACCTGGCGATGGCTTCTTTGTCTTTCACTGCGCCTGCTTGTTGGGCTCCAGCGGCCCAGGTCCTGGCTGCAGGAGTAGCACCCCTCGTGTGCCTGGCCAGGGCTGCCCACTTCCTGGCCGCCTCCCCAGCCGGGGGTCCTGCGGGGGCTCCCGGCCCTCTGTGAGGCTCAGTTGCCCCTGCTCACGCTGCCTGCCCGCTGGCTAATTCTGATTATTTCTCTTTCTCCTTGCTCTCTTGGGCGCCTTTCTTCCTGACCGTGCATTTTCTCTGGGCTCAGGATTAAAAAAAAAAAAAAAAACCCACACTGCTAATATCCTTGTCAGCCTTTTCCTGAATCATTGCTGTGCAGCTCCAGGGAGCCACGGGCCAGTGCCTTCTGGCCGGCAGACTCTGTCCCTGGGCCTTCCTGTCCTCGGGGTCCTGGACCCCCTTCTGCGGGTTTCCTCACCCCCTGAAGGCAACACCAAGAGGGCCAAATTCTCTAAGAAATGCACAGCCAGCAATGCAGACCAGGCCAAGAGCTGAGAATCCAGCTGAGATTTTCCGTCTCACAGGTGACTTCTCTCAGATGCTATTTAAAAAAAATTTTTAAAGCGCCTTCCTCCACATTATCTCATTTGCTGCTATTATCCCTGTTTCACAGATGAGCAGCCGAAGCCTCAGAGGGCTTCGTGATTTGTTCGAGGTTGTATAGCTGCTAAGGGTCAGGACTCCAGCCCCCATGTGCATAACTCCATGGGAGGAATAATCATCCCCATTGGGCAGATGAAGAAACTGAGGCTCGCGTCGCTGAAAGGGCACATAGCCATGAGAGGTGGTGCCAGAAGGGGTATTCAGGTACCACTGCATCCAGGCCAGTGTCCAGCTCTGGGTAGGGTTCTGTCTTTCTGTGTTGTGGTGTCTTTCTGAGTCTTTCAGCTCAGACTTCGAAACACCCACCCACGAGAAAGTACTCAGAAGCTCCAGGTCCAGGAGTCCAGGCGGCCGGGCGGCCAGCGGTCTGTCCTGGTTCCTCTTGTCTCCTCCCATGTGCATGGGGCCTGGTGGGAAGCACATGTTACACTTCCGGGGAGACAGCTGGTTAACTGCCTTAGCTCATCATGCTGTGTGGCCTGGGCGGTGTCCCCATTTCAGTCTGCTCTGGTAACAATAGAGCAAATATGACGTTGGTTGGCAATAGAAATTTCCACAAATTCTGGCTCAAGTCCGTCCCATCAGGGACTTGGGAAGAAGTTGCAATCAACAAACGCCCCTCCCCCAGACATCCCTCCCTGACTCTTCAAGATAGAGCAGACCCTCCCTCCTTGACCCTGCGGCACAGAATTCTCTGAGTGGTCACATTCCTATTATTGAGAGGGCCAAGTTCCCCCACTGTCCTTCACCTCTGCTGGGCTGTGGCCATTAAACCTCTCATGGAGGCATAATAGCTTCACGTGTCCACAGATATGCAGACAGGCAGTCTGAGTGGCCACAGTCACTAAGACACATGCCCACCACCCTCCTCCTCCTCTCCTGGAGACACAACTGCACGCAGAGACACTGTCCCACATATCACGATCAGTGTCATGTGCTGCACGTGCGCACACACACACACACACACACACACACACACACACACACATGCACACACATCCCTGCAGATGAACACAGGCCCACCTGGAGACAAAAAGTCTGCCCATGTCTATACAGGCCACTTTTTTCCAGGTTGTCCAGCTCCCCTACCCCGATATTCTGAGCGTCCTCCCTAGAACAGAAGCGGTAGCTGACTGATTGGCCTATGGGAATTGGGAGTTTGGCCTGCTCAGGCCAAAGCGTATTGGGTACCAAGCTCTAACGTTGAGAAATTTTTGGATAAATAGCCTCTTCTAGCTGGGCCTCTCTTTGTCCTCTTTCCCAGAGAGACCAGCCTCGACTATCTCCAGATGGCATCTACCCGCATCACGCTCCCTATCAGATACCCTGCTTCCCGTGGGCCCCCAGGGACCTGTCACCACCTCACCTGCCACCTCAGCACTTTCTCAATAACTCACCAAGGCCAACTGTTGCTCACTCAGTGATTTTTTTTTTTTCCCCTTCACATCTGAAGCTCTGGACAAATGCCTTCCTGTCCCTTGCCTGCCACTAGGGCTGTTGATTAATGGAAGAGCAGGCGAGAAAGGGAAGGAGAAGCAGGGTCTCTGAATGTTGGTTTGTCCCCTGCTGCAAAGTTACCTCCAGTCCTGGGAGGGGAGTGGGAGTGGGGTAGGCACAGTGACAGAACACAGATCCTGGGGGCTGATGTGCTTGGGTATAAATCCCAGCCCTGGATCTTCCTAGGTTTGTCACTTCGGACAGTCACTTGGCCTTCACAAGCCTCAATTTCTGCTTCTGTAAAGTGGGCATAACCATCTGAACCTTACAGTGTTGTTGGGAGCATTAGACAAGGTTAAATGCATGTAATAAGCCCTTGATAAATGACAGAGTGCTCTAAAAACGTAAGTGAATAAGATTATTGTTTTAACAATGGCCTTACCCTCTTCCTTGTGGCTCCTTAGGTCCTCTGAGACTCAGGCCAGGACAGGGTCTGGGCCTCTCCTATACAGCAGGAGAGAGCTGGGTAGGTAAGCAGCTCCCTTCACTAGTGTGAGCTGTCCCCAGCTCCCTGTCATCCACCAGTTAGTGCCTGTAGGGACCAGGGGATCGCCATTGTCCTAGAAACCAGGAGGGAGGGAACCGACAGATAAGAAGCCCTACATGGACAAGGGCTGCATCCAAGCCAGTCATTTTTACCCATATAAACCCACTGCATCTCAAAACAATCTGGCAAGGGAAGGATTATTACAAATCAGGAGGCTGAGGCTCAGAAAGATGATCTGACCCCCAAGTGACTGAGCCGAGACTTGAACTCTCTATGTCTGACTTCACAGGACAGGCTCCTCCCCAGGCTCCTGGCTCCCTTTGGAAGGTGGAGAGGGGAAAAAGGGAACTGAATTGTACTGAGGAAACTGCCTTCCTTGTCCTCAGATGCAGGATGCTGAACAAATCCATCCTGTAAGCACTACTCACAGCGAATCTTACTCCGCAGGACGATTCAGACAAAGACCTAGTTCATGCAGCTGAATATGAAATATGGCTCGTGTCTTAAGACATTTGTATAAAAAGACTATTTCTTCAGTGTCACAGCTTCAAAGCCACCTCTTATAGGAGTCTTGCCTTCTTACCAGAGGCTGATCTGGAAGGCGGAAGACTGGGGACTTTTTCCATGAACTCACTGGGGGGTCTCAGGTAAGATTCATTCTCTCACTGGGCCTCAGTTTCCCCATCTATAAAGGAACATGGTTTTCTGGAGTGATTTCTCTGGGTAGCTTCTAGTTGCAAAAAACTATCTTCATTGTAGAACTCATGTTAGATTAACAAAGTATGTTCTTCCAACTTAGAAATTTACTTACTAGAAAAGCCTTAACAATGGTGGACCATTTTAATGGTATTTGGTTAATGCGTTTAGAAAATCCAAGAAAAAGTTCATGTCGAGTATAGTAACCGAGGTAGAAATGGCTGCCCTGGTCTGACTCTATGAGTTTCAGAAAAGAAGAATTTTTGGCTTCTGAAGCTGTGTCCTTGTCACTGATTTAAGTCCTGGCTCTCCCTCATTTAGAGAAATCAGCTGCGTTCCTGGTCCGAGGTGAGGGGCCCACATTTATCCCTGTCTGAGGTGACTGAAAGCCTTTGCAGGACCCTTCCTTCTTCTAGAAACACAAGTATCGGGGGTCGGCACTAGAGTTGGTCTCCTGGCTGTCAGAAGGGCTTCTGGAAGGAAGACACAGCCCTGGAACTGTGTTCTCCTGGCACTTTCTTTGGCGGGTGGGGTGGGGGAAGGGCATCAGCATCTGGTTACTGCTACCAACAAATCAATATGTTGATAGAGCCACTCTCCTGTGTGTCCGTTTAAACACCGATCCCCGCGTGGGACTCAGGCCGACCCACTCCGTTTGCCAAATGCAAATGCATTAACCTTACAATTGGGTAATCTAATAAAAAGGATCAATGGTCTGATACGGTGCTTATGGAGTCATTTACTGCAGGCGAGAGCAATTTAGCCAGGACCAAGACGAGCAGCTTGGGGGGGAAGCCTAGGGAATGGCTCAGGCTGGCTGTCCGAGCTGATGTCCCCAGGCGAGGCCCACTCTGCCTGGAGACGCTGGGCCCAGCGGGCGAGGGAACGGGGAGGGTGTTATTCATTCATTACTGCCACTTTAATCACTTAGAGGTTCAATTAAGTATAAATCATTAGTGGTATTTCAAGTTACTTTATCCAGACCCACACATAACACACTTGACTGGCGGTGGGGAGCTTTCGTGTCGAGATTTAGCGTACGAGTGAACAAGGCAGTCATATGGGTTTTTCTGCTATGAAATTGATAAATGAAGCGGGCATTCGAGGTACAGCAGTAATTTCTGTGGTGCAGCCAAGTGCTCGCTCCCTTGTCTCCTCCAGCGATGAGGGCATGGGCCCCTTTAATACGGCAGCTTTCCCCTGGGGGCCCAGAGGCCAGGCTGGGCGGCGGGCAGGCCTCCGGGTTTATTTCCTTGCAGAACTTCCCATGGCAAGCCCCGGTTCATTAGCGGGAATATACCTGGGGAGTAAAAAAAAAAAAAAAAAGGAGGAGAGAGATGGGGGAGAAAAGCCTCCTTTCCCCTCATTCTGGCGTTGATTCCATCCTCATTTCTCCCCAGCAGCGAGGGCACAGGATGAGAAACCCAGAATCGGGCTGTCTCGGCAGCTGGACCCCCTCTTCCCAAGGATGCGCGTGTCCCCGGTGGCCGGCATCCCTGTCTGGAAAGCATATTTTCTCCTAATCGGTTTTACAGCTCTTTTAAAGTAATATGTCAGATCATTTTCCCCCATATACATAGTTAATGAAAGTAACCCTACAAATTCATTTTAAATAGATGGAAGTTGTTATAACCCTGATCCAGAATTTATTACGTTCATTACAATCTTGCTGAAGTAGGTAATGTAATGGACTATTACTTTTATTATCTTTTTAATCCCTCAAAATTATTAGGAACTGACTAATATTTGGCATCACCCTGTTAATGTTTAAACAGAAATTGATACTTTAATTCGTCTAATAAATGATGGGGGCACTCTGGGTGGAAACAGAAGCCTGATTGAGTTTATCTCGATCAGTCCTAAAGACTTTTAAGTGGGACTCAGGGGTCTGAATGCAATTATTTCCAGGCAGGGTATCTTCAGCAAGTGCTCAGGAAGGACAGAAGAGCAGAGATGGAGACAGTGACAGAGAGACCCAGACGGCGACGAAAACGAGGCAGAAAAGCGAGAAGGAAGGACATTTCACTCACACATCCAAGTTGTAATTCTGATTCTCCAAAAGCTCCGCTTGGGGCTGTAACCACACCAGCGGGCTCTATGTCTTTCCCATTTTGCCTCTGTCCTCCCCTCCTTCCCAGATTAAAAGATTCACCCCCGCCCCACTCCCCACCACTCCTGTGTTAGTAATCAGCTTTATGGCTAAGAATTCTCAAGTGCTCTAGAATCCGTGCGTTGCTGTGACAAATGATTGGGTCACATTCTCCTCGCAAGGAGTGGAGACCCTGCTTGTGCCTCGGAAAATAATGAAGGCTGCTCAATTTGCAAATTACCAAATCTCACCGTGAAATGGGAGGCGGCGGGAGGGGCACACAATCGTGTCTCTTCCAGAAGCGCCTGGGCTGGGTACTGTGTTTACCCTTCAGAGATCACTGACTGGTTCCTGCCGGGAGGGTGGCGGGTGGAATTTAAGAGATATTGAGCTCTTGCCCTTTCTAGGTTTTACAAGGCAAAATGCAATGGTAGTTGCTTAAATTAAAACAACAACAACAACAACAACAACAACAACAACAAGTATTAATTCTAACAGGGTGAGAGGAACAGAGGGATTCCTTTTGTGGCTTGATGAAAGCTAAAGGGAGGTACGTTTGGGAGTAGAAAAGCTGGCATTTCGTGTCACTCCAAGGCAAGGGTGTGTTTTCTAACAAAGAAAGCTTCCAGTTAGCAAAGTCACTAATTAGCACAGAGAAGCTCATTAGACTTTAAAGCTGCTTTACTGTATCATGGCTTTGCTCTCTCTAAATGCCCTGAGTTTCCAAAGCAAGAAGTGTATTGATTAAATTGACTCAGCATGAAATGGATCTCGTTTGTGCTGACCCATAAAGAGGTGGCTTCCCAGCTTTCCTGGCCCAGGAGCTTGCCAAGAGTCCCGTGAGCTGTGCCCAGGCCGGTGGGCTGGGGACAGCGTCCTGCCTGCCCGACTGCCGGAGCTGCGTTGAGGGACCGGTTGCCCACCATTGGGCTAAAACCCGTTTTGATCAATGGAGGGGAAACCCGCCCTTAACTAAGTTTGTTCCTGACGTCTTATAAATCGTGCTGGTTGCTTTCGTCAACGCCGAGTTGACAAGGGCTACACGTCGTTTGGGGCTTGATAAAGAGACTAAAAGGCAGCTTCTCAGCATGTTTATTTTTAATAGACATAAAAAATGAAAACAGGGGCTTTCTCACTCCTCCGAACCCTCGTTGACAGAAAAATACTGAGTGCACGGAAGTGGTGATGTACGTACAGTGGAGATCCTGTGTGTGTGTGCGTGTATGTGCGTGTGCGTGTGTCAAAATTTCCTTGTGAACACAAGGACAGCTTCAGAACTGAGGATGAGAACGACTGGGCCCCAGAAAGCTCCATTATTTCCTTCCCTGGCGTGAAGTGCCAGGTGCAGGGTTCAGGAATCACCGTGTCCGAGCTGTGGCAGCGTTCTCTCTGCGTCCCGGTGCTCAGGCTGCATTTGTGGGTATGAGAAATCCCATCAAGTCCTACCCCGTCTGTGAGAAATGCAGCCTTGTGAACTGAGGTCACGTCTTCTGAGGCACACCAACCCCCCTTCCTTTCTCTACATCTTTTCTTAAAATTTTTTTTTTCAACGTTTATTTATTTTTGGGACAGAGAGAGACAGAGCATGAACGGGGGAGGGGCAGAGAGAGAGAGGGAGACACAGAATCGGAAACAGGCTCCAGGCTCTGAGCCATCAGCCCAGAGCCCGACTCGGGGCTTGAACTCACGGACCGCGAGATCGTGACCTGGCTGCAGTCGGACGCTTAACCGACTGCGCCACCCAGGCGCCCCTCTACATCTTTTCTTAATAGAAATAACTCCTAGATGCAGCCACACTAGATATGTATGGCACTAAAATGATTTGATTTAGACCATCAAGGCAGAAGGAATACACCTTTAAAAGCCCACTCAAATATATTCACCACAAATGTCACAAAGAGCTAACAAGTATCTTTCATATAAAAAGAGCTCTTTCAAATTGATAAGAAAGATATCAAGAGTCCAAGAGAAAGATGAGAAAAGTGTGTGAAAAAGAATTTACAAAAGAAATTGAAGTAGCTAATATTTATTAAACATCTATGTACCGGGTATAATTTGCATGGGATCTCTTCATTCATTCTTTACAAAGACTGGAGGAGGCAGGGGTTACTATTCTCACCCCTATAGAAAGATGAAGAGAAATAAAGCTTTAAAAGTTACATACAGATTGGAAGCAGGGAGCCAGGATTCGAGGTCAGGCATCTTGATCTAGCAGGTGCACTTAACGAGTCTGCTGTAATCCCACGAATTCACAGATATAATCAGATGATGAAGTTGAAAAATAAGTTCATGTTCACCAGTAAACACAAATATGCTAAAACAGAGAAAAATTTCATTTATCAAATTAATAGAGAATTTAAAAAATGTTCATATTCAATGCTGGCGAGGATGGGTTGCAACAGACATTCTTGCATAGGAATTGCAATTTGACAATCTCTAGCAAGAGTCTTAACATATGTACAAGTCACTTGACCCGGTAACACCACGATAAGTAATTTATCCCAAGGAAGTAAAAATATAAACAAACCTTTAGGCACACAGCTGTGCTATAGCACAGGAAAACGGTTAAATCCTCCACATTAGGGGAATGGTTAAGTGGATTATGGTCAACCCATTTAGTGAAATAGTAAAAAAAAAAAAAACAAACTAAAATGATGTTGTCAAAGGGTTTCCAATACCATGGAGAAATACCTATCCTGGGGGAAAAAGCAGGATTATAAAATTGCATGAATAATGTCAATCACATAAAATATGGAGAGAAATCAGAATGGAAAGAAATGTAAAATGTGAACCAGGGGGCATTCTCTTTGTAATGGGATTCTGAGTAGTCATAGCTTTCTGTCATAAAGTATTTTTGAAATTTTCTACAGTCAACATGTTTGGCTTCTAATTGGAGGCAGGAAACATCCTTATGACTCTCTTTTGTTGTTTTTTTAAATTTTTAAAAATGTTTTTATTTATATTTTAGAGAGAGAGAGCGAGTGGGAGAGGGGCAGAGAGAGAGAGGGAGACACAGAATCTGAAGCAGGTTCCAGGATCTAAGCTGTCAGCCCAGAGCCCGACACGGGGCTTGAACCCACAAGCTGTGAGATCATGACCTGAGCCGAAGTCGGATGTTCAACTGACTGAGCCACCCAGGCGCCCCTTGTTGTTGTTGTTTTTATGTTTATTTATTTTGAGAGAGAGAGAGAAAATGAGAATGCACGAGAGAGCATGAGCAGGGGAGAGGCAGAGAGGGAGGGAGAGAGAGAATCCGAAGCAGGTTCCATGCTGTCAGCGCAGAGCCCGACACAGGGCTTAATCCCACTAACGATGAGATCGTGACTTGAGCAGAAATCAAGAGTTGGATGCTTAAGCAACTGAGCCACCCAGGCGCTCCTCCTTTATGATTTTTAAAAGTCAACTTCACAACTTAAATTTCCTGCCTAATGGGGGTGAATCACTGGCCCCACATTAGAGTACCGCATGAACCCAAGACACTGGGTGCATTGCTCCCTGCACAGCCCGGGACACCTGAAAGCAAGCTGTGTGTCCAGCTCTCTGAGTCTCCTCATCATCTGTAACATGCCCACTCCTAGGGTTACTGTGAGCACAAAATATGTGTAAAGACCCTCGAACAGTGTTGGCACAATATCGGCACTCAATAAATGTGAACGGTGATAATAATAGTAAGATGGTAAGGATGTGGCTGTCGTTGTGTTAGTAGGAAGGAAGACCGAGTATCCCGTAGGCAGCGAGAAGTGTGCATAGACTGGCTGGTCCCGAGATGGGACTTAAAACAGTAAGCAATGAAAGTATCCCAGTGCTAGACCCAGCCTCCTGGTGCTATCTGCCTCTCCAGGCAGGTGCCACAGAGGCAAAGGGGAAGGGGACACTCTTCAAGTGCACCATGGACCTCTATGGAGACGCTCACTCAACCCCCACATTGTGGGTATCTCCTCAGGGCCAGGCACAGTGCTGTACCTTTTCCCACGAGGATTCCCCACCCCCCACCCCCCCTCCCCCCCGACACACACACACACACACACACACACACACACACACACACACACAACTTTGAGAAGCGGATTTCATTAGCATCTCGGCTTAAGGCTCAGAGACTAGAAGTCCCTTTCTCGGTCATAAAGCCAGTAGGTGGCCAAGCTGGAATTTGAGCCTGTGTTGATTTGGCTCCAGAGATGTTGAAGAGGAATGGCAATTATGGCTGAGAACATGGCTCTGGAATCAGAAAGATCTGGGGTTTTGACTCTCTGTGTGGCTTCGGGCAAGTAATAAAGGCATCCAAACCTCAGTCTGCTCATCTTTAAGATGGGACAGTACTGTATCTCTCAAAGTCCGAGAAGCCAATGAAGGTACGTTGCACCATTGTTTTTTGTCACACTAAGAAAAATGGAATCATTGCCAACTAAAAACTATGATACAATACTTTCTTACCCCTTAGAATTTTAATTTTACAGTTATGGAAAGTACCTTATTTAGACATAGATTTTTATCATGAGACCTTTGTACATACACAAAAAGGAAAATACAAGTGAAGTAATTTAAGGTATTACTAAAACCTCTTCATGTTCAGAGATGGACTTAGAATTGGCTCCTACACGTTTCTCTTCTGTAGTGTCGCAAGTGTTAGCAGTGGAGTTTCTTTAAAAACCGCTCCTCTGTTTTCCTCAGGACTTTAAGCCACAGATACCCGTTCTGCAAGTTTTGATGTGTGTTCCCAGATGTGACAATGACATTGAGGCTGCTGCCCGGCTGACAGTGATTGCAAAAAGCATCTCGGCTTCAGGGATGTGAAAATGGGAAAAAGGAAGTGTCCATCTTAGAATCGATGAGATGTGGTGGCCACCTTACAGGGTTCTGGGAGGATTGAACGCAGTACCTGGAAAGGACTTCGACACAACTCGGGACACACAGTAAGTTCTCCATATCACCATCGCCATAGTTGTCGTTGCGAGCCTCCTCTCTGGCGTGTGTTGCGTGTATATGTGGCTCCAGGCCGAGCCAGCGTGCCGTGCTGGTGAGACGCCAGGTGCTGGGGAAAGTCGGTTC